CAGGACTGAGTCCGCCATTTGGGATGGCCGTTTCAGAGCAGAGAATTCATCCGCATATGATTTGATTAGCTGAGCCAACCGTGCACTGCCTCTGGGAGTCTCACCTTCCCGAACACCGCATCGCTGTGACCACCATAGGTGATCACTTTGCATTTGACGTCCTCCTGCAACTTTAGGATCTCCTCGACAACCCCTTTAGCACTGACAGTACTGACGCCAACTGAATTCTGGTTTTTCTTTTTCTTTCTTTTTTGGCGACTCTTCAGTTCTTCTACTTCTCCTCGCCTCTGCTGCTGCTTCTCTCTTGTCAGTACCTACCCTACCTGCCTGCAGTAAAAGATGGTCCGATTCGATTTCGGTGCCTGGCTAATTACTAACTTATTCTTAATCCTTTAATCTTGATCGCAGGAGCGGCGGAACCAAGCGCCGCCGGCACCTCCGCCCTGCCGCTGCCGCTGCCCCTGTCCCTGCCGACGCCCAGCTGAGCTCTGACCTCCAGCACATCTACCAACTCTTGGTTCGTCACCTGGACGAGCTGGAAGACGCCCGCAACGAGCGGCACGAGGCGTGGCACGCCGAGATGCTCGCCGCCATCGCTGCGGTACACACTGACGTCCAGGCCTGCCGCGCAGAGGTGCTCGCCGCCATCGCTGACGTCCGCCGCCTCCTCCGTTTCCTGGGGCTCCAGTGATGGATGGATGGATGGATGCATCATACTACTGACTCGATCTCAGTCTGGCTGCATGGATGGACGGATGATGGATGTCTGACTGTCACAAATTAATAATAAATAAATTCTGGAACACGAGATGATCGATGATGATGATACTACTACAGTACTTGTCTTTGTCTGGATGTCTTGGATGTCTTTGTCTTTAATTTGGGCAAAAAATCTTTTCTACAGATCCATCTCCTGGACCATGCATCTACTGCATGCCCATAGCTCTGCCCACAGTTTCCCTGTCAGGCTGTCACTGCAAGTACCGTACCGAAAAACTCAGGATCATCATCAGTTCATCAAGGCCACTTATCACCCAAAACGAGTTATCATATCCTCCTGGATGATGCTTGTCTTTAATTCTAAGGTTGGATGGCTTTACAGAATGTGTGATTGGTTGTAGGGATCCAACCTTAGAATTTCGACGAAAGCTTCCCCTGTTACATGCAATTTCACATACACTGCCCTCCAGCTCCCTTTCCTGCTATCCAGCACTCCCAGTATTATTTACTAGCTCCTCTTGCCCAAGCTCCAATCACCATCAACACTGTCCTCCTCCCAGCTCGTTCGTACGCCGGCCGCCCGCTAACAAAGGTCGGCGCCCCGGTGAAGAAGCAATGCCATCCGGCCTCGCGTGAGAACACAACTGGATCTACACATCAAGTACAGCGCCCCCCTACAAGCTCAAGTACCCTCTTCATCCAAAGCATCAGTGTTTACATTGGGAGATGATGAAGAGATTTCATCTTCTTCATATAAATTTCACAGCAAAAAAAGGATCTATAACTATGCCAACCTCTACTAACTCATGGGTACATGACAGAGACAGACCGCTATATATGATGTGGTACACTACTGTCTTTTCAGCGATAGAAGCTAGCTATATATGAGGGGTACATAAAGCAAAGGGTAAAAATAAACCATAAACTGCCTACAGTATTGTCAGAAAATTCTACAACAGCCGCCTGCAGGAATACAACAATACAAACATCATTACTCCGACATGGCCGTACTGAGAAGTATATAGGGGAGATAAAAAAAAGAGAGCATGTGCTCCGGAAAAAGCAAAAAAAAAAAAAAACTATTTATGGATGCAAAATCAAAGCTAATCCGAAAACATCGTAGCTAGTTTCCACGACAACAGTGCCAACAAAAGAATTGATGGTCCTCGGTAGCTTTAGGAGGCCGTTTGGGAGAGCTCTGGCTTCCTTCTTCGAAGAGAATTACTTCTAACCAGTCAAAACTTCTCCATTTAGGTCCCGTTTGATAGGGCTTTACTTCACTAGTGAAGTCATTTTTTTTTTGCTTCAGCTCCACGAACAGTTCCACCGGTGGAGCTGAAGCGGTTTTGGTAAACCGTTTGGCAAAATGGCTTCCCTGTGAGAGCATGTTTTTAGGGGCCTGGAGGAGGAGCCGGAAGAAGCCATTTTTTTTTTCTCCATCCCACCCCAAATCGTTGTGAGAGCATGTTTTTAGGGGCTTCACCAGTGAAGCTATTGCACTTTACCCGTTTGGCAGAAAACGGCTCCAAACGGCTCCTGAAGCTGATAGAGAAGCCCTGCCAAACGGGGCCTTACACGAGGAATTGGGAGCTAAAAAAATTGCTTTACCCTTCTCCCTATTATATTTTGGTGGGAATCAGCAGAGAATCAATTCTCATCAGCTCCCCACCCTTCTTCCTCATAGGAATTCAATAGAATCACTCCATCAAAAAATCAAAAAACATGACAGAAGAATCAAGGAGCGGAGCTCTCCCAAACAGGGTGTTAGCTTTTCTCAGGGAGTATTCAAGGGCTTGTAAGAAAAGGAGTGCTCGATCTGATCCCATCACATACTTTAATGATAAAATTTCTATTGTTATTCATCAATTTGCCTTGACTGATTACATGAGGAGCTAAGCACCTAATTATTCCACCATTTCAGTATTACTAGCAAATATACCCATGGCTTTAGAAGAACGGATCAAAAACAACATTATTATCGCAGGAGGTGGGAGCTGGACCAAAATCTAAAGTGACCATAAATTTTGCCTCTTTAGTATTAAGGATAGATTCTTTTGTGTCGCTCGCCTTCATTGATGCCTGCCCCCGATGGGGTGACAGTGGATCTCGGCGGTAGAACAGTCCAAACTGAGGAAAAAGAATTCTTATCATATCGCATTATATATCCATGCAAATTTGTTCATATATATTTTCTACTCAACGAATACATCAAATGTCTAAAAATTTATATCTGAGTAAATTAAACAAATAGTAGTATTTGATAATACTTACATCCGCATTTGTGTCCGACTATAACTGGGTTGCGACATTCACGTGAAAGTTGAACTAGTTTAACGGCACTTATTTCTTTAAGCGCCTCTTTAGGGGTAAGGACATGACAAACGCAATCCATGTCAGATGCTCGCACAGTTTTGCAACATTTTTTGCTTGGCGTCTCATAAGCACCAATAATTTTTATGGTGTTCATGTATTGACTCCTAACCGCATCTTTCTGCTGATAACAATCAGTCTCACCGCAAGCCTGATGTGGGGTATGCATTATTGTAAATGCTAAGGCAAAAACCATGACTTGAAGCATTATTAATACTTCTGTACCCATCATATATATAATGACGACGATGCTGATCGATCGATGTTTGAATGTTTGTTTGTTCTTATGTATACAGTGCGTGCACCGCACACTTCTATTTATAGCATGCGAGGGGCACGTCTCGTGATAAGTTAATGCCAAGGAATCCTGTTACTGATAGATAGTAAAATGAATGCCTGCAAATCTTTGAACAAACCAACAATACATTAAAATATGTCACAAAACAAAGACTAATTAATGTTAAGGAATCTTGTGATAAATATGTAGACAACATGGATAAAAATAAATGGATTGTATCCATGTTGTTTACATATAAGTTTATCCGATCGAGTGGAAAAAATATTATACACTTTTTAAAATTCCATATATGGTATATATATCTTACGGAATTGCTTTGAAGAAAATCCAATAAAATTGTGAAATCCTATCAGTAGTCCCCATGAGTTCACTTCCTTGAATTCTTGTTTGGTGGAACTCACACACACAATATTAACTCTCAAGTGCAAAGACTGCTGGGAAAGAAAAAGGAATTCCACTAAACAGGAATATAGGGATTTATTGACTTGTTATGAGTGAATTATGAAGCGCTTTTGATCCATGGAAAAAATGTATGCCAAATGAATTTGCCATGGCCTCCTCATTTGGTTGGTGCTTATGCTTAGTGGTAAGGTCTACAGTCATTTGGATTATCGAATGATGTTACATTCCTAGAAACATAGCTAGGAAAACGGGAACAATCTGTGCAACTTATAACGACAGTTTGCAAGTAGCATATATCCTGTTTCTGAACTCTAATCCACAACCCCAGCAGCCTATGAACAATGTGACTATGGATGGTTAATTTCAAAATTTTGTTCCTTGCTAGAATGACACTCAATTAGAACTCATTGTTCATAGGGATGAAAACAGAACATATAATTTTTTGTTCAGCTGGTGCCATTTTTCTTTTTCGTAGGCAAATATGAAACCAGGATGAAATTAGGGGGGGAAAAAACTCAAAAACATGAACACATTTTTTTTTGTGCAATTTACAAATCTCCCATATTTAACTAGGAATGCCCATCGGACTTCTTGCAAGTCCTTGGTCAATGATCTCCTTATATAGTAGAGCACCACTGCACCAGGGCATGTCGCCTCTATTCACTTGGCAAGGTGAAATTAAGCATGTTCATAATATGGAAACACATGCAAGTAAAAAACACAACTGATCTACATGAAGTGCAGCGCCCCCCTACAACATGTACATCAATTCCTATACTTCACCTAAAGTACCCTCTTCATCCAAAACAGCAGTTTTTATATTGAGAGATGATGAAAAGACCCCATTTACTTCATTTCAAATATCACAGCAAAGAAGTGATATGAGCACTCTTCTTTGGCCTGTGCTACATACAGGTAATACTATTGTCTTCCCAACAACACTAATTTCTTGGAATTGCTCTTCACAACCAACACAACCATCATCAAAATTCTCATATAAGTTACAACAATTTACAGCTATAAGAAATATTCATTTTTTATAAATAAAAAAACCTACAACTATGCCAACCTCTACTAACTCATGGGTATATGAGAGACTGGTACCAAATCAAACATGTATGGACTCACATCTCCACATTCTTCGCATCATGCAGTTAAACAAATTAAGGCCCATGTTAGCACGCCCAGTATATATGCCGTGGTACACTCTTCAGCGATAGAAGCTGGCTTTTGGACAAAGTTTTTCTACAGATCCATCTGCTGGACCATCTACTGCCCGTAGCTTGATCTGATATAGCTTTGGCCACAGTTTCCCTGTCACTGCAAGTACCGTACCAAAAAGGCTCATCAGATCAAATTTCAGTCCAAGGCCACTTATCACCCAAAATGAAAAAAAGAGAGTTCATTGGGAATGCTTAAAGCTCACCAAATAATCTGTGGTTTCTTTCATCCCAAGCTATCCCGTTTAAGACATCAATATTCTGGAACAGAGCATATTTCATTTAGGACATCATGTAATTTCTCCTATATATTTGGGGATTTTCGTAATGATGGAACTGTTTACTTGTTTCATCCTGTTTCCCCTACAAAACTACCATGCAGTACAGAACAAAATGGAGTTTGTTCCCGAATGGACGATTGCAAATGGGTATTATGGAGTAAAGGAAATATAAAAACACAACATAAAGGAAAAAGGAAAAAAAAAATAACACCATAAACTGCCTACCGTATTGCCTGAGTTCCACAACTGCCGCCTGCAGGATTACAACAGCACAAATATCATTACTCTGACGTGGGAATACTGATACTGTTATAAGCGTGTTGTTTAAAATAAAAATAAAACATACCTCAGCTCATGAAGAAAGATCCAGCCCACCACTAGGCCATCTTCAGGGGACACTCTAGCTATGCAATCTGTCTGCGTATCATAGCTTTCAAAACTCAGATGCCCAGGTCACACGTTATAGAAAATTACAAGGTATCTATCTCTCCGTACATTGATAAATCATATATTAGTAGGGTACAGCAAAATTACATAGAAATACAGCAAATCACTTAGCAACAGGTGGAGAGAATTGAGTAGAGGAACTCCCATAAGATGGCTAATTATCATGAAAAATCAGAGTGAGTGCATTGTAGTAAGGACTCAGCAGCCTATTTGGCAGCGATAGGCCAAATGAAGAGCAGCACTCAGTGAAACTTGGTCGCTTCGAGGAAAGTTGAGGTACACACCATGGAAATAATAATCGGAGAAGCCTTTAAACCTCATTCATATTTGGTCTAAGATACTAATGGTGCCACTAAGATACTAATGGAAGATATAGTGGTCCTTGCCAAATGCAGTACATAGTTACACTAAGATATTTCATGATAAGATATGTTAGCTAGGAGGAACTACATCTAACCTGCCAGACATTTGCCCAGACTTCACCATCTATATACTCCAGCTCATTAAGATAGGGGACTTCATTACCATGATACTTGACAGTCACCACTTTCATGACTGCATGAAAATAATTGTTCAACAAAAAAGAAAAAGAAATCTAAACACTAATAGAATATCAAGCAGAAAGAATAGTAACCTTCAAGTGACTTTGGATCCAGCTTATACAGCATTGAAGTGCCATCACTGCCAAAAAGAACTTTGCCATCAGTCGCCAGACCCCAACCATCTCGCATTTTATGGGTAAAACTCGTGCGCTGCATATTTGGTATATAGGAAATTAACAACAACAATAACATACTCATGCACTGAAAGTAAACTGGCAAGCAAATAAAAGCTCAAGAGACATCAGTAAATGCCAAGCAATTGTGCATCCAGAACTCACAAGAAAAGTACCATCACGAAAAAAAATAAAAGCTGATACCCAAATTAAAAGTGGGATTTTAGAATTGTTATCCAGGGTTAAAAGCAATAGGTCTGTGTGATTGATGTAAGCATAGACACTGGGCGGCAGCATACTTTGGAGAAGTTATGTTGATCATATATAAACCCTTCGTTCTTCAACCAGGTAACCTGAAACAATCTACAGAGTGAAACAAATGAAAATGAAATAGGGTCTGCATGGGAAGGATACAAACAAAGTAAGCCCATGCCCATTATCTCTGAGAAAGGGATTGGTATGTGAGGTGGTTATGCACCTGTCACCGAGAAGAGTTAAACCTTCTCCAAACATTTGTCCGTCCATTTGGTGGTTAACCAAAACCTAAGAAATGGTGAATTGCCAATCAAACTTAATCAGGTGATGAGTGAGCGAACAAAGAGCGTCACGAGCATGAGATATGTGATGATAAACATGAGTAAGCATGGAAGTTAGCATACTTTTCCGGTCTGAAGATCAACCTTTCGGACTGAAGACTGTTGAGAAACCAAAAGCAGAGACATTTAGTGGGATACAATGTAGGATGAGCAGAGGATTGTTTGCTGGGCAAGGTAGGAGCGAACATTACCCGGTGGTAGAGGCCAGTGGACTCGAAAAGAGTGTCATTTTCCGCGTACAAGAGACCCTACATCCGAAGCACACGATGCAGCAGAGAAATAAGTAAGAATGCATTGTCTTGAACACTGAACTATCAAGAATTGAGAAAATACGTCTTTTTGTACTACTAGAATAGAAGCCCCATGTGTTGATGAGGCACGCACTCATCAAGTAGTACAGGAAGAGAATTTCCCCGTTGCTGATGAGGTTGAGATCAGATCTCACCTCAGGAAGAAAGAAGAGAAGAGAAGCACACCTGGGTGAAGGCATCCGGGTCGTGAGGGTACTCGCGGACCAGGTCGAAGGAGAAGAACCTAGTGGCAACAGCTGGGTGGGCGAGGAGGGCGGTCGGTGGGGACCCGGCTCGCCTGGTGGCGTAGGCGGCGGCGAGGAGGAGGAACGCGGCCAACGCAGCGGCGCCCGCGATGACCGGGCGGCGGAGGTAGAGCGGCTTTGTGGGCGCGGGGGCGGGGGCGGGGGAGGAGATGGAGACGGAGGCGGGTGTCATGGCGCGACGGTGGTGCGGCGGCGGTGGCCTCCGTCGGGAGCCGACGGGCATCTGGGGCAGCCAGTTGAAAAAGTCAACGTGTCCACACGCGCCTACACTTGGTTTCTTTGGAAATACTATTCTTCCTTTATTTCTTTTTTTTTCATTCCATTCAAGCATATAGTCATTTTTCAAAAAATGGTAATAGAGAAAGCATATAGTCATCGTTGATTGAAGGGGGTGATTTTATATTTCTCCAATGTGACATCATCGTGCGTTGTCTTTCAATCACGATGATGTACAAGTACTTTCAAATTTCGTTTTCAAGATTATTGCTCTGTCATGTACTATACGCTATTTAATTGGCAGCGTGCAATCTTCCTATCTACTTCCTGCGATCGTAACTATATATATATATATATATATATATATATATATATATATATATATATATATATATATCCATCCATCCGGAATGATAAGCATATTTTGTATATAAAAATTCAAACTTTACAGATCTTAGCCAACAATTATTCGAATTATATACAAATTTATGACATTAAACTTGCACTAATAATTTTGTATTCAAAGTAGATCTAAGATAATATTGATTCTTTAGCAAATAGCGCACAACATAATGTAAGAGAAATAAGGGTCAAAATCATATCTTTTTAATGAAATTTTCTTGATCAAAATATAGCTATCATTCCAAAAATAGAGTATATATCTAGATTTTTTTCCTAATCAAACTTTGCTAGCTTTAATCAGGAGTATCTTAAATTTTGTATAAATTAACAAGACAAGATTGCCACTACTTGAATTAAAAGATACTTTCTTAATATATAACTCTTGTCATTTAAATAATAACTAGCAAACATGCCTGTGCAGCTGTGCGTGATCTGACTATGTATCATCGCATACGCAAGTTGCTCTAAAATCCAGGTCACATAAGAGAAATGGAGGTAGGCACGAATTTAATGAGTACACAAGAATAGTTTGAAAATTTAAAAATGGGGCGAAAGAAAGGAACAACCACAAGCAAGGGTATTTTGAGAATAGAAAAAGAGGGTTGGCAGAAACGCTTCGCTCTTTAATATTAATATAAAGTGGAGCTATACTATTATTGTTTTTACCATTCAAAGTGTAATATCCTTAATCATCAACTTATATTTGCATATATAATTGGAGAAAATATGTGTTTGGCAAGTTGATTAACGACATCATAATAGCTACCTCTAGCAGTGTATGTACTAGTATGTGCAAATTAATGATTTGGGTACAATTAAGCCATATGCGACGACGAACAACCAATGACGTAAACTCTTTCGCTCTAAATTATAGTTCATTTTACATTATTTTTTCTAAGACAGACCTCTTTCATTTTAATTAAGTTTACAGGAAAAATATATCAACATCTAGAATATTAAATTAGTTTCATTGACAGATATTTAATTTATTTGAACTTATGAATGTAAATATATTTTCTAAAAAGTTTGGTTAAAGGAATTTAATTCAGGACAAAACAAATATGAACTGTAATTAAAAGCGGAGGGTATATACCTTTTTTTTCTTTTGTGAAAGGAGAGATACATGCTTATATACAGAGAGATGTGCATGTGTGGGACTGTGGGTGGGTTGGTTTGCGTGTGTTTGTTGTGGGGGTATCATGCAAAAACCTCTTTCTTGGATTCAGTAGAATAATGTGAAGATTTGGCCATGCGACGTGTCCCGAAGGTTTGAAAAATATATTATTACAGCAGTCGTAGGAACATTTACCATGCATATCTTTGATCTCCATCCTGTAGGCAAATCTAAATAATTAATGGCGATCATTGACCTTGTAACGTAAAAACAAATAAGCTAATCCTTGGCTTTTGCAAGCTTCTAGGAGTACGTGTAGATGTTGATGCTACGTAGTACTATACGTAGCTGATTAAGGCCTGGAGTTTGGTTAACCTGCTGCTACCTCCTACTGTACCTCTCTCATTATTATTGTTCCTCTCTCTCTCTCTCTTCTTAGTCTTCTCCGTCCCCATGTTCATGCAGCCTCTCTCTGAAATATATTCTCTTCGTTTCAAATTATAAGTCGTTTTGATTTTTTTTTCATCCATTTTAATATATATATAGACATATTATTATATCCAGATGTATAGTAAAATTGATTTTTTAATCCAATTTGATATGTATCTAAAGTATATTATTATTGGTTAATTATGAGCTAGTTATAGAAAATGGATGCATGCATGATTATCGTGCGTACAAAAATCAAAACGTCAGGTCAGGTGTAATGACACATTGACACATATATAGCTTAGGTCTAGTTTATAATTTTCACCCCAAACTATTATATCGAATCTTGCAACATTATGAAGCTAAAAAAATTAGTTGGAGAATGTTTTAAGAATCCATGATTGCATGCATGATTATCGCTAATACGATTAACAGCTAATGCCCATCCATCCATCCGTCAGGTCAGTTTTTTTGTGTCCAAAAACCCACATCAAAACACATGCATAAGTTTTATTTCGCTGTAACTAAACACACCCTTATATATATTGCTCCTACTTTACTTTGCACGGCTATACCTGAAAATACCTTTATGTTGGTTTTTCTGAGAAAAAGGAAACTCTAGCTTTACAATAATGCACGTATATTCATAGCACAAATTGACACAATTGTGAACAAATGTATACATGATTTGTGTTCCATCGTCGATCGACCTTAAACTTTGTGTTTTATTTTCAACGAACGACAATAACATGATCATATCTGGCCTGATATATCATTCAGCCTATTTATTTATTGGTTTCAGCCAAGGCTTATCAACCAATCAACAGTGTTTTTCTCTCACAACAAACTAGCACCAGCCGAACTTTTCAGTCCAGAAACCAACCAGCGAACAGGCCGATTATCATTGCATCGTGCTGAGCACGTTATCAACAACTAGTCGTTGGATATTATAATTAATAATGTATACGAATATATCCAATACGAATCGATCGGAGATCATATATATATCATGGATGGAAGGGACAATCATCTAACATGGCGCCAACTCCTACCTGCACTAGCGACAGCTCGATTGAAAGATCTTTAATTTATCTATAACAAATATACACATTTATAAACTATCGATGCCTTTGTTTTCAGGATCACGTTGCATTATATAATATGCAATAATATGTTATTGTCAACTAAAACAAACTTTAGCTGGTCACATTCATTTATTTCGATCAATAATTCCGTGTGTCCACTTAGAAGAAGAACCCATACATGACAAACTACAAAGTCATGACTATATCTATAGCTGTAGAAATGTGTGAGGGGTGGGCCTCCGCTCTAGTTCATCGCCGGTGAGGTTGCCAAAGGAGGATGAGGGAGACTAAAAGCGATTACCGGGACCCTAAGTTGGAAGCTCTCGCGTTGGACAAGAGGCCACATCGTCGAAATAAAGTTTGAAACACCACCTACATGTTCGAAACACAACCTATGAAGTAGGCGTTGGGCCGACGATTGGGTAGTGTATTCGGATCCATGTGTCATGTCCTAGTTGACAAGTGCCGTTGGTCTGTTTCTTTGATGATTCTGTTTGACAAAGAATTGTTGCTCCTCTTTGTTGCGTGCTTTTTTTGTATATTTTTTCTTGAGCGGTGGTGGAGGTGAAGAAGATGCTCAATTTAGGTTAAGGTTTCGTTTGGACCATTTCATTTGGAGGAATTGTAATCTACTCTATGATCTAGGCTGGCTATTTGGTTTGAAATTTGACACATTCCATAACTTTCTAAAGTTTAGATATAAGGTTATCTTAAATTCATAGGACGAGAGATAGAAATTGATTCCATAGATCCTCATGGTATGTTTCTGCTCTGTAAGTTATAGCACATTCTTCGGCTCGATCCTCTGCATAGAACTACAACAAATAAGTATCTACCACATGTAATAACCAACAACAGGATATGAGTATATTCCACACATGGCTATATTAACTTTATTTGATCTAACTTTATTTGATCTATGTCTAAATTGTGATTATTAGAATAGGTTTCGATTCCAAAGTTGTACCGTAAAACGGGACCAAAAGTCAATTACTGAGGGTTATCACCACCTTTGATGGTCGTTGTCGGTCATCTTTGAATTCGAAGTGCTAGCTGCAGCTAAATTAAACGTGGAGGACCGAGGGCTAGCTAGTGAACTTTATTTGAGGACACGTAAGTTGCTTCTTTAGGGCATGTTCGGTTACAATACAAATGGTCCAGGAATTAATCTCACTCATGAAGTTTACACAATTTTAACTAGCACGTACGGAGTACGTACAGTACCGGCAGGCAATAATGCACGGTTGCAACATGCATGCATGAGAATTGAGAAGGAAGGGAGGGAAGGGAACATGAACATGCATGCTAGCTGATTCAATTCAATTCTTTCAAGATGCATGTTATTGTTATCCTATCTTGGCCTTGTTTAGATTGTCTTAAAATTCCAAGTTTTTTCACTCTCTCTCCATCACATCAATTTTTGGACGTATGTATGGAGCATTAAATGTAGGTAAAAAAAATAACTAATTATATAGTTTGGTTGTAAATCACGAGACGAATCTTTTGAGTCTAGTTAGTTCATGATTGGACAAAGTTTGTCAAATACAAATAAAACGTACTACAATGTCCAGATTATAAAAATTTACAATCTAAACAAGGCCCTTGTTGCAAGTAGGATCGGAGTATACTCGAGAGTGTACGTCGGCCTGAAACCAATAAGTGCTGTGCTGTGCTGGTCCAACCATTAACCAATACCAGTATCAATTAATTATTATACTAGTAGTATATTATTACTCTAGTACGTATCTTTGTATTGACCTGACCTGTGGCCTGTGGGGAAGGGGAGTGCAGCTGCAGTGCAAGACTGCAAGTGCAAGCGATTTCCCTTTTTGGTGTCGTCAGGCAGGTCAGTCTCGTGTGTCCTCGGTCCTCACGCTCTCACTCACATGGCTGGCACTGGCAGGCAGCCAATGGATGCCACGTTTTCTTTCTCCCTCCTGCGTTCGTTTCGTTTCCCTCCCTGCGTGCGCTTGCACAGCACAGTGACAGTCTGCAGCAGCTGCCAGCGGCGGCTTGTTCCTCCCGCCTCCCGGTTGGTTCTCGCCGTCTTCATTTCGGCTGATGGCAGCCCAACAAGACATTATTCATTAATTCCCTTTAATTGATTAATCAATCAATCATTCATTCATTCCGTTTACTTTGCACGCGCAGTCGCCAGCCATGCTAATCACGTTCGTTCAGTTTCTTTTCCTTCACGCGCACCACGACTCTGCTTCTCCTGCTGCTGCTCGGCCAGACGGACACCTCCTCCATCCCCGCCTCCTAGTCCCAGTATAAAGGAAGCAAAGCAATCCCACCCCATGTCCGTCCTCGTCTCCATCCAATCTAGGCACCAGTAGGCATCATCTCAATCTCCATCTACATCTACTGGACGTGTTGTACCTGTAGACCTTCCTTCCAAGCTACTCACTCCTACAATAACACAAGATGATGGAGGTGGAGAGGCCGCCGTTGGAGCTCAAGGAGGAGCAGCAGCCACAGCTCCTCATGGAGGCCGAGGAGGAAGAAGAGGAAGACACCTCCTCCCTCCTGCACACCAGGGACAGGGAGAGGGACGGCAACAAGAAGAAGATGACGACGACGATGGCGGACCAGGACCTGGAGCCCTCCGACTCCGACGCAGCAGCAGCGGAGGCGGCGGCCCAGGCCCCTCACCACCAGAGCATCTTCTTGGATCCAACCCAAGGTCTGCATTTCTCCTCTCCCCTCCTCTCATTGCAGTTGTTACTTGTTAGTGGCAGTCTCTGTCCATTTCCATTTCCATGTCCTCCTCTCCTCCTCCTCCTCCCTGCTTTCAGTAGATTTCTTCGTCGTCGTCGTCGTCGTCGTCTTGTTTCTTTTCATTTTTCCCCCTCAAAAATGTCCTGTGGCCTGTGGCCTGTGGCCTGTGGGGATAGGGATTTTGGTGCCTGCCTCAATCAGACTACAATATAGGAATCGGGTAGATCAGGTAGAGGGACCCCCACTGCCTCAACTGTTTATTTCTCTCCTGACCTGAGTTCACTTCCATCCAATTCCAACCCAAGAGAGTTGTACTCCTTCATCAGTCCTTCTCACTCAGCTCCTGTACCGGACCTCTGCTGCACCTGCACTGCATTATTGATTGCCCCCACTCGTTTTCACCACTTTCTGCTTATTATTATTGCCAAGCCAAACTTTCATGCTTCAAAGCAAAACACCATAGCTTAGCCTTAAATTACAAAGTGGGCAATTAGCATAGTTTTTTTTTTTGAAACAAATTAGCATAAATTATTAGGGATTATCATTCCATCGTTCAGTTTCTTTGACTGATAGATTAGAGGAGCCTTCCTTGTATCAACTCAACCAGTATGTTTGCTGCTGCTGCTGCTGCTGCTTTAATTTCTCTGACGATGAGGCTATCACTGTCACTGTCACTGTCACTGTCACTGTCACCTGTGGTCAGGCTTCCATCAAAGTATCTAACGATAGGTGGACTTTGCACACAGATTAGATACTGGACCCGAGCCTTCTGTCTGTGTTCCTCTACTTTTCTTCATATAAATCATTACAATTTACAAGAGCATGCATGCTAAAGATATACCAAGTATGTATAACAATTCTTCACGGGGACTCGGGGAGCACATGTTTTTCCTGCGTTGCGCTGCGCTGCGCTGGGTCCGGACGAGATCAGCAATGTGCAGTACAGACTGACTTGGCTTCCTCGCAATTCCTGTCCACAGCTTCCATTTCGTCGCATTGCCTGCAGCAAGCAAACAAACTTTAGCTGTATTGTAACGCACGCCTCATTTGGAACTTGGAAGCCTCTCTCTCAGCTTTATTCAGTCCTCACCACCTATGCCGGTGGCCTTGTAGATACGCTACGCTTGGACACTAGCTAGTAACACGTATCTTTATATACGATCACATATCTATCTGCACCTACTTCCTGTGCTTCCAATCCAATAACAACACGTACGTTTAAACACCTCCCTCCTCTCATCTTTTCCTTCTTTCTTCGCAACTACTCTCCCACCTTCGACAAGACACTCTTTTTTAGATAATGGTAGATTAAACAACCGGCTTCTTCCTTCGAGAAGGAATCAGGCCACGAGTTCAATACAGAAGAACATCAATATACCAGCTGACCAAAACATCAACGGCAGCACAAAACCAGTTTTTAACCAAAAACTAAACACTAAGTCTAAGAGCATAATGCCATCTAAAGAAAGCAGAGCACTGCAGAGCCGCGGTCTCTAGCTTCTGGCATCCTTGGACAATAAACTTCTTCATGTCTTCACTTCTTTGTAACAGCCCCCACTGCCGCAGCCAGTGCGTAGCTCTGAACACGACCTGCAAAATAGATTTTGGACTGCATTTGTCAAATACCAATTCATTTCTTGTAAGCCAAAGCGACCAGCAAAATGCAGCAGCTCCTATAAGCAACAAGCTTCTAAATTCTCTCCCACTTTGTTTGTGCCAAGCACCAAAAATATTTCGTGTATTCGTTGGTGGTTTTAAAACAAGCACCATATGGATAGCACGCCACAAGGCCTTGGCCATCACACAATCGAAAAACAAATGTTGAATACTCTCTAGTTTAGAGCAATAACAACAATTTCGGTTTCCCCTCCAATTTCGTTTAGCTAAATTATCCTTTGTTAGAATTACCCCTCTCCTTAGAAACCATATAAAGATCTTACCTTTGTCGACTTGTGTTGTTGTCGACAAGACACTCTTAATGTCTGTTTACAAGGACGCCCAAGGTAGGTTTTAGGAGTGTGTCCATCCCTATCTACAGCCTATCCTTTTCAAATCAAAAGCTCCTTCCTTATACTACTAGCCACTTAGTTAGTTCCAATGCTGCACAAGAAAAGAAAACAGGGTTGCAGATAAATTCTTCTACCCACAGACTCAAACGTCGTGCAAGGTTAGACAGCACATCATAAAATTACCTTTCCATTTCTTGACTGAAGGTCTATGGAAGTGCCGGCACTGCGATTGGACGCACCGCTTGAGTGGTCCATGCACAGTTGATATCCTCGACCATCAGGGACACTGCATAATTGCCAGCAACCTTGATTCGTTAGTTCACAACAAACCATTATATTATTCGCCACACAGAGGTTAGTCTCGAATGCTCACAAACGTAGGATGGGTACTATACTACCTAGCGATCAGCTTCTCAAACTTTCTTTTCATGTCTTCTTCAGTCCGGCTTCATTTCTTTTCATGCCCTGTCCTCTTCTCCCAAGGTCTTACTGCACAAAACGGAATCTCTACATATGAGAAACAAAAGAGTAGCTTCTCAATGTTTCAGCTAGTACTGACATCGCTACTCTAATTTCCTTTTCAGTCTCTGGTCATGCTACTGAACTAGGTGCTGAGAACCAAGTTACAGAAGTTGGTGGCCCAAAGGAAAACGCAAACGAAACTTCAGGTGCACAAGGCAAAGAGATTGAGAAACAGGACAACGTCAGCGCTCAAGAAACTAACCACAGTTCAAACAATGGCAAATTGGAAAATGGTTCACACTCTAATGGTGTGCATGAGATCTCCAGCAGCAATGAAACCGTGACCATTGCAGATGGACTGAAACTGATTACAACCATCCGTGATGCTAGACACATCTTGCCAAACTGGAGTGGTTCTGTTGACGTTTCCAGTGGCAGCACGACTGCATCTGAAGTTCATGAAATTGAAGTTGAGAAGGATGAAATTATCACTAAGGGTGAAGTGAAAGTTGAAGAGTATGATCTTGAGAAGATTCTGGACGAGCAAGAAACCCATGACCTCTATTGCCCCAACTGCAAATCCTGCATAACTCGAAGGGTCATCCTTAAAAAGAGAAAGAGAACAGTAAGACCAGATGCACGTAAGGCACCACCAAAAAGACCACAGCTTGTAGAGCCTTCTGCCAATGTTCCAAGACAAACAGTGGATGAAGACTCGCCCGAAGTATTTAGATGCTTGTCATGCTTCACTTTCTTCATCCCAACAGGTATCACTTAACTTGCCTCCACGCATTATATGTGCCTTCCTCCTTTTCATCAACTAATATCTGAGTTATTATTTACATCTGAACGTTTATATTTTTTAGTCTTTTTCTCCCAGGCAATCATGCTTTCAATTAAGTTCAATTAGCGTCAGTACATGAGTACTTATGGCTGTAGATCTACAAATAATAAATCAGAAATTATTTCTACTGTAGTTTGAGATATGTAGATCATGGTTAATTAAACATGGGTACCTTAACTGTACAAGAAACAAGACTGAAAGCCTTGCATGATTTGATCCATACATAAGTAAGTTTCTTGTTGGAAGAATGAAATAGATAAAACATATTTAGGTATTTGTTTGTACATAAACTTTCTTTTCCCCATCTTAATTGAAAGGCAGAGCTTCTGCCATTGCGTTCAAAAAATATTTAGGTATTTGTGCTATGACACCTCAGTGTTGACTGTAGTTTCCTATCTTAGTTTTAATCACAACTCCATGTACCTGTGCTTCTACAGTTGTTACTAGTAGATATTATTTCTAATGTGCCAATTTAATATTTCTGTTGCCACCAGGTTGCAATTTTAATATATTCCGTATATTTGAAAGGAGGGATATAAACCAACAAGTTCAAATTCATCATTCTTCTGCTTCACAACAGACGTCTGAAAACTGTGGAAGTTGGTTTCTTTCTTGTTTCCAGACAGCAGATAGTCCAAAGCCATCAAATAATGCAGGTATTGTAATGTATAATGTACTTCAGCGTGTTTTCCTAGTAGCATTACTGTAGTACAAAACCCAGGTTGATTTGCACTATAGTTTAATCTACCATGCTTTAAAAGTTCCCAGGCTTTATTTGTTAAAAAAAAAGTTACCAGGCTTTTTTTTTGAACGAAAAAAAGTTACCAGGCTTTCCCAGAGTAGCAAATGTTCCTCTTTATAAGTTTTTTTTTTCTGCTCGTTACCATCAGAAGCTCATGAAGGAATTATAGCATTGGTGTCTTACTTTTGGTGCTATGACAGTTTCTCGACCAATGGCATTGTTACGAACTATAAAGTAACTTTTTGATGAGCACTGTACTCTGAAGGGTAGTAATACATGCTAAGGTTCTGATCAACAAGTATGTTACAGATTCATTGGAGGAGCCATTATTAAGTGATTCACAGAGGACCGATCCTCTAACTTCAGTTCAAGACAACACACCAGCAGAACAATCGAAGAAACCATCACCAGCTGGATCCCAAACTACAACTGCTACGAATGAAGTAAAACAGTCGTTCAGTCAATTCCATGCATCATCTACAGTTGTGACAGGTTTGTTTCTCTATAGAACATGCCATCATGAGCACTCAGCTATGGGATAATAATATTTTTGGGTTCAGAAAGCACAATTTTATTGGCATGTCAGGTAATCTATAGCTGCCTAGAGGGTGCCAGTAAAGCTACCATGTTGTTTTGTCGTCTGAAATTTTTACATACAAACTGTGGAGTAATTCTAAAGTTTTTTCTTAATAACAAAAACAATGATGCTGTAATGCTGCTGAAATGGTAAGATATTACCATGTTACACGGAGCTTAATACTTATTTAATGCAGTAACACTCTTTTCTTTTTTCATTAGAAATAACCAGAGAATAAGTCAGGAAATTTAGCCTCACTAACTACCCATGTTGCAGTTTGTTCAGAACTAGTATAATCAGCTAGTGCCTTGTTGAAACCTCGGTTTCTAACAAGAGTGAGAAGTGGGCGGAGGCCTTCGTCTTAGGTTGGGGTCTCCGCCTAGGACGGGCGGAGGCCCCTGAACGCGGCGCACTCCTGTCGGACAAAATCATCCGTCAGAGGCTTCGGGTAGAAGGTCGCTAAACGAGAGATTCAGTAGGCTTTAGCAAAGTGGGAGTAAGAAAGGGGCGGAGGCCTTCGACTTTGGCCGAGGCTCCGGACTCTAGCTTCGGCAGAGGCTCTGCCTGAAAGAGAGAATGAGGATCAAGTAACGACTCACAAGCACTAGGGTTTCATAATTGCTTCCCCCACCTCCCTCTCACAGTTACAAGTGTCCCCTATTTATAGGGCTTAACTACCACTTTACAGAGTTTACAACAGTGCCCATCAACTGCTACGGTACATTCCAGGAATATTCCAGCCCTAGTGTCTAACCTCAGGGGTGTTCTCATCACACTGTCTCGCGATGTCTTCATCTTGGGCCTAAGCCGACGCCCACTAGAGGCCCATCAACTGTTCTCACGTATGCCTTGTTGACCTAATCGTTCCTTGATGGGCCTCCGCCATACTGGGAACACCTCGCCATGATTCAAGGCTTGGCTTCCATTTGTCCCGGGAGAGCCTCCACCGTCCTGTGGGAGAAACTCCACCGTCATTCTTGTACTATGCCTCCGCCGTCTTGGGGAGAGCCTCCGCCGGCTAGGCCTCCTGCCTTGGGGGAAGCCTTCACGGCCTAGGGCCTCCGCTGTCTTGGGAGAGCCTCCGCCTGGCCTCACGGCCAGGCCTCCGCTGTCTTGGGAGAGCCTCCGCCTGCTAGGCCTCCGCCGTCTTGGGGAGAGCCTCCGTCGGCCGGGCCTCCGCCATCTTGGGGAGAGCCTCCGCCGGCCAGGCCTCCGCCGTCTTGGGGAGAGCCTCCGCCGGCCGGGCCTCCGCCGTCTTGGGGAGAGCCTCCGCCTGCTAGGCCTCCGCCGTCTTGGAGAGAGCCTCCGCCGGCTGGGCCTCCGCCATTATTCCTTCATCAGGCCTCTTTGAGGGGGAGTTGACCCATACTCCGTATGAGCTCCCCCAACAGTAGCCCCTTAGCTACTAGGTTATGGACGGTACTACATGACCTGGTAGATGTTCATACAAGAAGAGGCACTATACAACCCAGATCTTGGTTGCGAGGATTGCCCTCCGCAACCCGTTCATGCACGCTGTAACAGAACCGACCAATTTATAAGAGCACAAGTACGAAAGCAATCACCGGAGTGATCAAACCGTCATACTTGAACCCATATAAACCCGGTAGTCAACTGAAACCACGAAGGATTTCAATCCAACTTGCATACAACCAAGATCATAGTAATTCAACATAACAAGCCACATGTTACATCCATTTCACAAGTAGTTCACAAGTACCTCATACATCAGAGTTCACATAGTTATTACAAAACAAATTCACAAATAGCGGAAGTAAAGTAGTTTGAGACAATCACACACACTTAATTCAAATACAAGCGAGTTCCATAGTCATATCCAGCAAAAGCAGTAAGATAAGATAACATAGATGATCATGCCCATGATCTAGTCTTCATCCCCAGCAGGGTGGAGACAATACTTGCAGTAGCCGTTATAGAGCACGTCATCTGCAACAAGGGGGGAATAAACCCTGAGTACGAGAATGTACTCAGCTAGACTTACCCGTCGTAAACCAAAATAAATGACATCAAGGAGTATGCAAGGCTTTATCGGTGGATCTTGCTTGACAACCATTTTGTATAAAAGCTTTAGTGGTATGAGAGCATAATTTACATTATGAGTAAGTAGCACGTTATCAATATTAACCTGTCAACTAGATTAACACATGTACTAGAGCAAGCAATTGATTAACTCCAAACATTAGTAACCATATCCGGTATAATGTTGTATCATCATCATCATCATCGATTTAACCATCAAGTTCCATTAAGTGCATCTACGTTGCCGCTGCTCAGTCAAGTTCTCACTATCCGGGAGAGACGGCGATTCGAATCGATTCCTATCCAGCTAGAGGGTTATTTCTAACACTCACCTAATCCACCTGATCAATGGTTTCCTCGGGTCACCTTTGGTACAACTCAGGAATCGCGGGTCCGCCCAGCCCCTCACCCTCAGGGAGTCCACTCCGCCAGGTGGTCAATCTCACCTAGGACTTACGCCAATGGCTCCCCGCACATCCTTACTACCTCCAGGGTGCGCAGTTTCACTTTTTGGTTCCCGGCCTGAGTTGAGCTACTCGGCTTCGCGGTCGGAACGAGTTATCCGGCCAACTAAGTGATAGGCATGCGTTCAACATGACATGAGGACGTACAGCGAATCGGTCCTTAACCGACACAGATGGGGATAGATCCACACCCAAGACCTCCTTGCCTTGTTGCTTCTCTATCGACCTCCCGTCCGGTCATAATTTATTATTAACACATGGTTATTTTCCATGATAGCAATTATAGCCAACCGTGACCAGACATCCTCCTAACTTGCAGGTGACATGAAATCACCTGACTTTTACCGGTCTAAGCAAGGCTAAGCTTTGATTCACTCCTGGACCTAAATAGGATTCAGGGTACGTTTACTGGACAAGGAATAGATATATATGCAACAAGTGTTTGCATCCAGTTCCTATCACTTAATGCATCACAAATAAAGATACTCAAAGTAACCATTTTTAAAATATATGAGACTTAGAATGCTCCGGGGCTTGCCTTTTAGAAAAGATGAAGGTTGATGATCGAGGCACTCAAGAACTTCTTCGTTGGCTCCTTCTTCGGGGGCCTGCACCTCCCGCCTCCTCGAAGCTTGTCATTGTTCCTCCAGAAGTACTTGCTCGAATTCCAGAAGCGTGACTCCCTCCGGAACACCTATTGCATGTATATGCATAGTATAAGAATCATGTATGCACAAGAGATGGAAGATGATGATGAAATGTGTAGCCATGTATGAATGGACGCATGAATAATATGATAATACAAGCTTTACATCTATTTTACCGAGTAGGTGCATATCTCTTTTAGAAACAAGAATTGCACATTCATCAAGCTCTAACAACCTAAGATAAAGTCGTTCATCTTTAGTAAGAGGTCTAGCACCTGCAACTAACAAGTTATTTTAATTAGCCTAGCATCTAACTCATCACATCAACTCATATCAAGCAAACAAGTTATTCACTGCACTCAATAGTTTTCAGGCTGCAAACAGCAGCAGACATTTTGACCCATAACTGGAGTTCTATAGGTCTAAATACCATGATTTAAGACTTTCTGGAAAGATTATAAAATTGTCTATAACTTTTGTTTAATCACCAAAGTCTAATTCAAACTCAAACTAGGTCAAACAGACTGATTTTACAAAACTGTCTGTGGATTCCAGAGAGCAGGCAGTTGGGAGTGCTGTCTTCCAACTGACGTAACTCTCAAACTACTAGGCCAAATGCCTAAATTTTGACACAAGCTAGATAAACAAGTTCCCTACAACTTTGTTATTGACCAAATTCACAGAAAACATCATCTTCACTAGTTAATTTGCTTAACTCTAAAATCTGTCCAGAAAGTCACTATAAATGAATTATAGTGAAAATAATATTTCATTACATACAAGAATAACACCATGAGTACTACCAATGCTACCAATAGTTAACATACATCAAATGAACACTAGAAAACATAGTGGCCATCTCTAAATAAATTATTTTCATACTGTTATTAATTTATTTAGATACTTAGGTTAAATAATAAACACATATCTAAAGTGTACAAAAAATTCCACAAAAATTACAGTAGCTTATACATGTCTCCAATAGACTACTGTATAAATTTCACATCATTTCAACAAACATAACACCCTACACAAAAATGACAAGCCCGCAGGGATTAAAATAGCATAAATAGAAAACCCTAGTGAAAAGTGTCAAGCAATAGATTTTATATTTTTATTAGGTTCATCATAACACCATAACACTGTACAAAAAGTTTCATGCTCATTGGATACATATTTTTACCATGAAAAATAGCACAAGAATCTCCTAATTATAAAAGAGAAATTAATAACTCAAAAACTATCCATGCAATGACTCTCAAATTTTTACCAGAGCTTATAATCATCAAGAATAGTTCACCATACAAATTTCATAATTTTTGGAGCACTACAACTCTAGATATGAGCTAAACAAGTTTGCATTCATTTAAAAACACATTTTAAGTTGCAATTTAATTCTTCCAGAAACCTTACTACAAGTGCTCATGTTATATTTTTCCTAAATACTACACTTTACCAAGATCCTAACAAAATTGAAATCACCAAATTTTGATCTACCAAACTCGAGATACAAATTTTACAAAACTACATCAAAATCAGCACAAATAAGCTAGCTTTCTGTCCTTAAGCCACTGACACTCGGGACCCACAAAACAGAAGGGCCCACACGTCATCGACACTAAAACAGAGCACGGCGGCTGTGATGGCGCGGGAATGGCGTAGCTCATCGGCGGCTACTTTTTGGCGAGAACAAGGGCACTGGCGTGTTCTACTCATCTATGCGCATCGATAGGGGTAGGTGATGGGAGGGCGAAGCCACCGGAGGTAGCTCGCCGACGTTCATGGCGGCACGGTGGAGGAGCCCGGTGGTGCGCCGGCCATCTCCGGCTAGTAGAGGTTTGGCTAGGCCTGATTCAAGCATTAGGGTACTCCGGGGAACGAGAAAGGAGAAGCGGAGGTGGTGAGGTACTCCAGGTGGGGCTGGCCACGGAGCACCCAACTCCGGCGAGGTTGCGACGGCACGGAAACGCCAAATGTGGCCTCACCTGAGGTCGATTGACTGCGCGGAGATGACGAAGAGCTAGAGGAGGTCTCAGCGGAGCTGTGGGAGGTACGGTGGTGAGTACAGGGGAGCTCGCCGGAGCTCACGGCGGTAAAGGTGCTCTGCCGCGGGAAGAAGGAACTGCAGCCTCAACCTTGACTCTCCGACTCAATGGCGAGGTGGACGAGCTACAGGAGGCGATGGTGGAGTGGTGGGCTAGCTAGAGTGAGCAATGACGCAACGGCGAGCGAGCAAGGCGACGGCGTGTGCTCGGCGGCAATGGCGGAGCGGCGTTGTGCTCGGTTCTGCGTGGACTGACGAGGCGAGGAGGCACGGGCCAAACAAGTAGGCAATCCAATGGCGCGTGGCGTTGTCGTGGCAGCAACGACCTGACAAGCGGGGGCAGCGCCGCCGTACGGCCACCACTTGGCGCGTTCGGCCTGACGCCGGTCGGCCATGTCGGCCGAACCGAAGCCATCAGAGAACGACAAGGTCGACTGACAGCGCAAGTTCAACATTCTATATCTCCTAACCTGTGATGATCTAGTGCAAGGCGTAGTTAACAAAGTTGGAGATTGAAGTGAGGACTACAACTTTTCCAATTGGAGCTCGAGTTGGTTCGGCCTGGTTAGGGAGATACAAGGCTCCAAACAATGGTACAAGAAACTGAAAATCAACTCTTGGACTTAGAAAAATTCTAAGTGTAGAATTCAACCCCAAATCTGACTTGTGGGCCTTTTTTGAGACAGTTCCACATGTTTTCATGACTTGACCTCTAAACAAAATTTGTTCCATATAAAATTTGCTACAACTTTGCTTTAGGTTTCTCAGACATGCAAACACTCTAAGTTGCACTTTTTAAACAGTCAAACAAAAGAGCTCTAGGGGGTCAACACAAGTCAAACTATTACATGGAAGCATAATTAGGCAATATGGTCAACATGAACATTGTTCCTAATGACCTTCTAAGTGTAGCTAAGTTGTTTAAGAGGACATTTGACACACGTTTGCATAGACCACACATGAGCACACACAATTGCTAGCATAGAACCAAACAATTTCAAATAGAAACACACATGAAATGATACATTCATCATGGCATGATGCTTATGAATGAGATGATAATGCACATGCTCATGTGATGCAAGTGTTTTAGTGCAACCATAACACTGGGGTGTTACACACGCCTCGCTAAAAACTCCATCCCAAAAACCCTGTGGGAAAAAAGGGCATGGAGAAAAGAGCACGCGCATGACTCTAACCTATACATGCACTAATTCCTTAGGCTTTCAGCTCTGGGTGCCTTTATCTTCCAGATTTCTTCATCTATGGCCTTCGGCTCCTTCTGCTGCTTCTATGGCATGGTTCATCGGCTTCGCTCGGTGCTCTGATCTTCATTCCTGGGACCTTCACGATGCGTAGGTCTGTATCCTTGAGGTCTTTGCTTCTGATGTCTTTTTGGCGAGTAGGTGTGTCTCCAAGGCCCGATGTGTGGGCTTTCGTCTCCATGTCTTCTCGGTGCAGGGGTCTTCAATCGCCTTCGGGTCTTCCGCCTCTGTTATCACCTCGGCGTGCGGGTCTCCGCCTCCGAGGCCTTCCCAGGTCTTCATCTTCGGGGTCCTTGCCTCTAGTACCTTCACGATGCTCAGGCCTTTGCTTCCAAAGCCTTCGTAGGTGTTCATCTCCGAGGTCTTCACCTCCGAGTCTGGTATCGTCTTGGCGTGCTGGCCTCCGTAGGCGTTCGACTTTTCTTCGGGCGGAGGTCTTCATCTCCAATCCTTCTTTGGGCGGAGGTCTTCATCTCCGATCCTTCTTCGGGCGGAGGTCTTCATCTCCGATCCTTCTTTAGGCGGAGGTCTTCATCTCCGATCCTTCTTTGGGCGGAGGTCTTCGACTAAATCTTCGCTCACGAGCGCCAGACAAAAGACCTCATGCTCCTGAGTGGTTGGTCCTCCGGTGGGCGACTAGCGAAGGACGGGCCGGAGAAGGCCTGCCGACGAAGGATCCAACTTCTAGCTCTGCAAAAAATTTCGTGCCGAGCACGGTGGGCGCCACTGTTGAAACCTCGGTTTCTAACAAGAGTGAGAAGTGGGCGGAGGCCTTCGTCTTAGGTTGGGGTCTCCGCCTAAGATGGGCGGAGGCCGGCCTCCACCTAGGACGGGCGGAGGCCCCTGAACGCGGTGCACTCCTATCGGACAAGATCATCCGTCAGAGGCTCCGGGTAGAAGGTCGCTAAACGAGGGATTCAATAGGCTTTAACAAAGTGGGAGTAAGAAAGGGGCGGAGGCCTTCGACTTTAGCCGAGGCTCCGGACTCTAGCTTCGGCAGAGGCTCTGCCTGAAAGAGAGAATGAGGATCAAGTACCGACTCACAAGCACTAGGGTTTCATAATTGCTTCCCCCACCTCCCTCTCACAGTTACAAGTGTCCCCCTATTTATAGGGCTTAACTACCACTTTACAGAGTTTACAACAGTGCCCATCAACTGCTACGGTACATTCCAGGAATATTCCAGCCCTAGTGTCTAACCTCAGGGGTGTTCTCATCACACTGTCTCGCGATGTCTTCATCTTGGGCCTAAGCCGACGCCCACTAGAGGCCCATCAACTGTTCTCACGTATGCCTTGTTGACCTGATCGTTCCTTGATGGGCCTCCGCGCACTGGGAACACCCCGCCATGATGATCGCTGCGCTTGGCTTCCCCTTGTCCCGGGAGAGCCTCCACCGTCCCTAGGGAGAAACTCCACCGTCATTCTTGTACTATGCCTCCGCCTGTCTTGGGAAGAGCCTCACTGGCTAGGCCTCCGCTGCGTCTTGGGAAGCCTCACCCGGCTAGGCCTCCGCTGCCTTCTTGGGAAGCCTTCGCTGGCTAGGCCTCCTTGGCCGGGCCTCCGCCGTCTTGGGGAGAGCCTCCGCCGGCCGGGCCTCCGCCGTCTTGGGGAGAGCCTCCGCCAGCCGGGCCTCCGCCGTCTTGGGGAGAGCCTCCGCCGGCCGGGCCTCCGCCGTTATTCCTTCATCAGGCTTCTTCGAGGGGGAGTTGACCCATACTCCGTATGGGCTCCCCCAACATGCCTCAATGTTATGAAAAAGAGTAACAAAAAAGTATAAACCTCTTATGCAGGATCCACGAAGATAGAGTCAGTACATGTAAATGTGCAGCAATACGGAGCGCACCAAGAACAAATTCCTCTCTCACAGCCTGCTGGTGATACTAAAACTGATACCAGTCATCTAGGTCACAAAAAAGGTAGGTCTGATTAATTAGACAACAACTATCAGGAAGTTAGACTCATTAACTTACACATGTTACTTGCAGCACCACAGTTTGTTTAAGACACCTAGCATCACAATGTGATGAAAAGGAGTAACAAAAAATTATAAGCCTCTAATCTTTCAAAAAAAACCCCCCCTCTTATGCAGAATTCACGCAAATAGAGGCAGGGAATGTGGTAACTGTGCAGCGTAATGGAGAAAGCCAAGAGCAAATTCCTCTCTCGCAGCCCTCTGGTGATACTGCGACTGATTCGATGCACCTAGGTCAAAAACAAGGTAGATCTGTTAATTTGTATAAACTATGTCAATAGAATATGCATGCTTGCATTTGTAACATTTTTGTTTTCTTGTTACAGATATTCTGGAAGGTGTAACGGCACCCTCTGATAACAGCCCATTTTTCAGCCAACCATTTTTTGAGCCAGTACTCCCAATAAAAGTTTTGCCGGGTATGGTGTATTTGCTTGTCATATATCTCGTTCACAGTATTTCGAGGCTCATTTTACATGTAGTGTTCATATGCTCAAAATTAATTAAGCTACATTTGGCTCCACCTCATACAGTATTGTACCACAGTATTTGAGATTATTTTGTTTATATAGTAAATGATGATGGCCTGCAGGAGAGGACCAACTTCAGACGGTTGAGAAACCAACTTCAGTTATTCGTCAACCAGCTGAGCCAGAAGCTCCACCTCATACAGTATTGGCAGTCCCTGAGGCTGAGACACCAGTTCCTGCATCATCAGCTCCAAGGGATGAATGGGATATACTGAAAGCAATAGTGTATGGTGGCCTTGTTGAATCAATCACAAGCCTCTCAGTTGTATCAGCAGCAGCAGCAAGTGGTGCCAAGACTTGTAAGTTTCTTTCTTGGTTCTTGCATTAATGGATGGCATCGCCCAAATTCCCCTTGTTTTAATGCTATTATGTTGTTCGTCTGCAGTGGATATATTCATCTTGGGCATAGCAAACCTTATTGGTGGACTTCCTGTAATTTACCACAATGTAACATACTGTTCTTGCCTGAATTTTACACAATCTCTTTGCGATGACCATGCAAGACAGACATCTGACAAATTGAAGGTTCCTTTGTCACAAACAGATTGCTGATCTGCGAAACACAGGAGATGTAGCCGAAAGCAGTGAGCAAGTGGGGCACTATTGGCTAGAGCTGGGAAGGCGATCAAAGTACCAGTTGCACATGGTGATAGCCATACTGTCATACATCCTCTTCGGGCTGCTGCCACCAGTCATCTACGGACTGTCATTCAGGACAAGCGACAACAGGGAGAACAAAATGTTGGTGGTCGCTGCTGTATCTCTCCTGTGCATTGCGCTGCTCGCAATTGGAAAGGCACATGTTAAGAGGCCCAGGACTTACTTCACAACCCTCCTCTACTACCTGTCCATTGGATTCAGCGGTTCCGGGTTGTCGTACGTCGCAGGCGTCCTCATCGCGAAGCTCCTGGCACACTTTGGTATCATTGATCAGGGTGGTGCATCAGCTCCTGCTCCTCCAGGTCTCTCATTCCCTGAAGCAGCCGCCTGGGCTTCCTACTGAGCCTGGAGCCCTCATTTAGTTGTTTTGACTTTTGATGGTCCAATAGATTATCTGGGCACACACACATCTGCATGGAAACACGGTTGTTTTGATGGTCCAAAATAGATTATCTGGGCACACACACACACACACATCTGCATGGAGACGCTATCTTCGATTCAGAGTTTTTATGCTTTTTTTTTTCACAGCACTTGGCCATAGTATAATCTTCATCACAGAATTCGTCTGTACCACAACCTTGTCATCATATTTTTGACAGGAACATATTATCAGTTACAATCTCCTTTTGTCACATCAGGCATCAGCTTATTAGATTGCAATAGCGCATCAAAATGAGTGAACATCTTATACACCATTGCAATGTGTCACATACATGCTATGTGGCTAATGAAGATGTTTGGTACCAATTCCAGCTACACGGTTCACATGCCTCCTATATACAGATATCCTGAAGCCAGGAGAAAAAAATGGCGACGAAGACTGAACCGACAGGCAAGTCATGTCTAGATTTTTGGTTTTCGCAGATGAAGAACAGTACCAAGGCAGCGATTATTGCTTTTGCACTGGCTTCCCGGTCCAGTAAGTCTTGACAGCCACTAGGATCTTGTCAGGGTTGAACGGACCGGACTCGTGATCCATAATTTGGCTCTTCCACCTCATGCCTCCAGTGATAGCTTGTACCTTCACCAGCACCTCCACGTTGTCCCTGATGATCACAGTCCCTTCAGGCCTTAGAATCCGGTCCATCTCAAGGAGGATGTACGTTATGTCACACCTGCGATTGCTCCATCATTAGTATCTACTTGTATAAGCTGGACTTGTTACAACCTTATTACCAAAGAAGGCAGGAAGGAAAATTTCTAGAGCAAAATTGAACAGCAAAGATATTCCTTACCTATCCTGGTAACTGCTGAAAATTTTATCAGCATGGATGAGGTCGTAGGTCCTCGGGTATGTTGAGAAAGCCTCACACCAGTCCTGGTAGGTGCCAATAAACCCTCGTTCATAAATAACACCGAGGGTGTCATGCGCCAAGCCTGAAGGCACAACATTCATCACCCAAAGAGGGTACTCCATCAATGCAGCTGCAAAACCCCCTATCCCTGCATTCATGTCCATCACGTTCCTGTATCGTCTTTTGCCCAGTGGTGGAATCAATTTCTTGTAGTGATTCACTCTCTCTGACCACACCTTGTTATCCTCTTGGAACTTCTCAGGGGTGAAGCCTGGAACTGAACCGCGAATTATTCTTGGGGGAACAGCAAATGCCCTTTTTGGCCATCTCTCAAGGGTTCCACCAGCAACTTCATCTTCACTCTTCACATCTGGGAGAGGAGATATGCAAGTGTCCATCTTCTTGTACCTAAATTGTTCAGATCAGGATGAGCTGCTGCAACCAATTGAGCAAACACTTCACAAAAAGAGAGAAAAGCAGCAGAAATCTTACCAAGCAGAATCCACATCATTGCTCTTACAAATCTGCGGAGCATCATAGACCTTCCTACTGTCAACACATTCTACGTGATTGATAGGTTTCTGCCATATAGCAAGATCACCTTTCTCTATGACCTTCTTCCAGCAGAGCCGTTTCGCTAAGTCCTCAATCTCATCTTGCTCTTGCTTCAGGTCTTCTTCTGTCCTCTCCCACCCCTTGTAGTGTCTCTTCCAGTGGATTGGAGGCCCAGAGAGGATCCAGTAGCCCCCTGGTCTAAGAACTCTGTCTACTTCAATTAGATAGATGCCATCTGTTCAGACAAATCATGTGGAATTATCTTAATCAGTTTGTGTTCGATGTAACGTAACTGTAAGCTGTAACAAATAAGGAAACAAGTTTACCAAGCTTATTCCATGGGATCAAACATCTAGAGCAGTGCGCCATGTCAAATGCTCTAGCGGGATATGGGATTCTTTCAGTCCCTATCACTCCAATCATGGCTGGTACCCCCCGTTCCAATGCAAACTGTACCTGTGCCTCATGAGAATCCCTTGGCGCAAAAGACATGGTGGTGATGTTCCTCTTCATAAGATAAGCACCCCAGCTTGCAACCTGTACAGCAGCAAAGATACTATAATCCCCAGATCCTGAGAAGGAATCACAGATAATATCATAGAAACATTGCTCTAGTCACTCACCCCACATCCAGTATCAAGTGCAGTTCGGATGTTGCCTTCATTCAATGGTACAAGGGCATTTATGTCATCAATATAAGCATCGGCACCATGTGGGAACATGGTGCCACCTCCAGGGAATCTAAGCAGGTCTCCCTCAACATGAATCCAGTTCTGAACAGCCTTCTCGATACTGAGCTCTCGATGAGGGATGTTATTGAACCAAGCATAGTCGCGACTTTTTGGCCACTGGAAGGGGTTGTTATAGTTTGGAGGCGCAGGGATCAAGCATCGGAGCATGTCCTCTTTCTTTGGGCAGTGCCGCTCCCTGTACTGCATCATTTTCTTTGGGAACTTCCTAGCCCTCCTTGGATCTTGGCAAGGGGTATACTCACTGTACTTGAGCAGGCAAGGTGTGAATTTCTCCACCGCAAGTGCCGATTCATTGAAGCCCACCTGGTGGTGGGCTTGGAAATCCAGGCGAGCACCAGATGACCGCACATGATCTTTGCACTGGGTTCTGGTACTTATTAAGGAAGAGCTAATGCCGTTTGAGGTGCCTTGCCAAGCACCAAGAATGTACGCTGTGACACAGAGACCAATGACACCTATGGTGAGAGTTACACGCATCCTTTGGAATTCTGGGTGGCGCACCTTGGGGGATCCATCCTGTTCTTTTGCCATTGGAGCTGCAAGAAATTGGAAATGAGCACATACATAGAGCGCAATATATTTCGCATGACAAGTAATTTCATATGTCAGGTAAGAAATGAAACGAGGGAGCAAAGTTGGGGAAGCTAAACAGGGTGATTGAGAATGAACTAGATTAATACCATCATAAATTTTTACAGTTTTGAAATAAGCCACTACTATTCATAAAACAGGAAATATGCCATTAGGGAGAAAACACATATAGAAATATCATGAAATTCTGTACTACTCCCTCCAGTCATAAACAGATGACGTTTTTGGACTGCAACAAGTAACTAATTACAAGAGAAAATGTCATCTAATCATGGACGGAGGTAGTGCCATATTTCGAAAACCCCAGAAATTTGTAGTATGGTTCCACATTTCCACTATCATGGATTCTGTAACGGAGTTTTTTTTTTCAAATCTGTGAAATTTATAAGTGATGAAATTTATAATGGCATGAATCTCATTAACCCCCACCCTGTTTGTTATATAGAAAGAAATCTGAAACAGGCAACTCAATTTAGTTGCTGAGGTGGGAAAGTTAGAAAGGTAAGCAGCAGGCAGCAAAAAAGATGTAGTACCCCTAACCCTCTGTTTCCTGCCCCCAAAGAAGAAAGTGGACTGCAGAAAGCAGAGAAAGGCACTGCCGACTCATCATCATTCTTTGCGAGATAATAACAATACTAAACTGCCGAACAGAGGCAAGTCGATGCAAAGCAACTATACTTGAGTGGGTAGGCATGGTGTGATGATTAAAAGTATGAATTGAGCAGGGCAGTACCGTAGGAGTGAGTAAGAAAGTTTGCAATTTTGCAGCAAGGTAACCAACCAACCAGGTGAAGAAGAAGAACCCTCAGAAAAAGGGGCAACTCGCGGACAGTTTTGGCGGTGGTGTGGGAAACGAAACCCTACGGAGGGAAATGAAACCTCATTGAAATGACAAAAAGAGCATATTTTGGATAAACATGGGGGGAATTATACTCTCTCTCTCTCTCTTAATTAGGAAGAGGTGGTGGAAGAATCAAAATCTCGTGGTCTTCAGTACCAAGCAGAGGGAATAAACAAACATAGTACTAGGTACAGAATGTTGGGTAACAAGTTGAGATGTGGTTGTGAGTGAGTACCGAGTAGCATGACAGTTGACGGAGAAGAAGGAATCCCTAATAAACAGAGGAATCTAAGCATGAAACTCACTTCACTTGATTGTCCCCCAGCCTTACCTTGAAGAAGCGGAAGTGTTGGATTTGCAGTCCGGAGTGGTGTGTTGGCGGGCGCAGGAGAATCGGCGGGCGGGACGGGAGCCCGGAGGCGGAGAGAGAGGAAGGAGGGAGAAGGCCAGGAGGGAGGAGGGAGAGGAGAGGATGGAAGAAGAGGAGCCTCAGCCGCCGCAGCAGGAGAAGGAGCGGAGGACTCGCTCAGTGAGCCGCAAGGGCTCTCTTCTCTTCTCTCTTCATTCAGACACAGGAAGGATAGGAATAGAACGCAGGCATCCAGCCCAGCCCGGATTGAGGGCCACCCAGGCCCTTACTCATTGCACGGCCCGTGAATCCATCTGGTGACTCAACGCATGGAGCGTCATGGTCTGAAACAATAAATTTTTAATTTTTACTGTACATTTATTTATTTATTAGATCCCTTTTTACAGCCATAGAATTGCCCAAATGAAAAGTTTGTACAGTTATACTTTTCTAGCTCTCTTTTTTATGTTATATCATTAACATTTTCTTCTTCTGTTATTAATATATTTTAAATTAGTAGGGGCTGCCCCTCCTGTTTCTTAAAAAAAATATTATCGGTTGCTTTTCAAAAAAAAAAGAAAGAAAAAAAGAAAAATTGTCTTTCATTTCTGCTCTTGCTCTTATGAATGAATTCAGATTTTTCTTTCGTCTGTTAAGTTTCCAATCCTAATACTTTAACTTTGTTAATTTATTATATGCTCCTAACATGTGCATTGTTTCCAATGATCGACCAGTTCCAAAACTACTAGTAACATCAGTTCGTTCGTTCAACGCATGATTTTTTTATATATTATATACTACTATAATTTACATTGCCATCTTATTAATGCGGCCAATATATTATATTACTGTTATTTTACATTAATTGCCATCTTATCATTGTGTTTTTTTTCTCCTCACAATGCAAGTGAGTAGTGGAGACACAGAAACCACACATTTTTGTAGAAGAGTCGTGCCAAGCATGCAATAGTATGTACGTAGCCTGAAAACCAAAATAGCAAGAAACACTGGAACTTAAGTCAGGGGTGTGTTAGGTTCTTTAGTCGCTCCTAAAATTCATGTCACATCGAATGTTTAGATACTAATAAAGAGTTTTAAATATAGATTAATTAGAAAACTAATTACATAGATGGAGGCTAATTTGCGAGATGATTTTTTAAGATAATTAATCTGTCATTAGCATATGTTTACTATAGCACCACGTTGTCAAATCATGGACTAATTAGGTTTAAAAAATTCGTCTCATAAATTAGTCGTAAGTTATATAATTAATTTCGTAATTAGTCTATATTTAATATTCCATGTGTCTAAACATTCGATGTGACAGAAATCTTAAGCACCCGTAGAAACCAAACAGGGCCTCAGCCAGCCACATGCATGGATCATATCGGGGGAGAGAGAGAGATCCAAAACACAAACAAATAAAACGAGAGAGATGTTTGCCTGATCCCGCTTGATCGATAGATAGATCCGATCGATCCAAGAGAGAGAACTAGGAACGTATGTCAATGTCCGAGCAGCACAACGACTCCAGTGCCATGCATTCATAGGCAAAGGGTAACCTGCCTTCTTGCTCGATCGATGACCAATTACAAATATATATAAATTAATATAGTATCGATGCATCCATCCATATATGCAGATGAATGGGTTCCAAATTAAATTAAAATTCGTCAAAGGACCTAGCAAATAGGTAGAGAACAATCTCCCTATATATACTAACCAGAGAGCAGAGAAGCAACATTGCAAGCACACACGGAACTCAACACAGAAACCAGGTGAGTGACAACAGCTGATGAAGGGAACTTCTTTTAATTAAAAAAAAAATCAAAGAAGCAAACAAATTAGTACGAGAGAGAGAGAGAGAGAGAGAGAGAGAGAGAGAGATGCATGGCTCAAGAGTCAAGAGAGATCGATCGAGAGATCGGAGAAATAAAGGAAGTTGCTGTTATATAGCGAGCGAGAACTGAAGCGCACCACAAAGACTCACGCAGAAACTGGAGAGTCGCGCCGGCCCTCCAATTTCACGAATTTCTCGGATCGGAGGAATTCACGGAAATTCGTTGCAACAACATTATCCCATCAGGTCAGAGTTAGTTCCGCCCCAGCATATATCCTGTTCGTTTGGCTGGTTCGTTTCATTGCTGATTTATAAAGAAGTACTGTTGGCTGGTTTATGTGAGAGAAAAATACTGTTATGGAAATTTACGATCGTTTACGATAAGTCACAGCCAAACGAACATGCTGTATATTTATGTCTTGTTTGCATGCGCATGTAGGAGTAAAATTAAACTAAGTCACATTCCAATCCACTCAACACATATGGATTGAAGTGGATACATATGCTTAAAAAAAAAGCCATAAGTGTATTTATTATCTTTGTAATGTAATTCCTTTTTTTTTGATTGATGAGACGGTAATTCTTTCTAGTAGTAACTTTTTGACAAATAAAAACGCCCATATATACATACACTGCCATCGTGTATAACATACTGTCCGAATTCACGATTATTCATACACGTCGCACATATACACATACACTATTTTTTTTAAGAACTAAATATACACATACACTTGGTAGAACCTACAATCATATATAGCTGCAACAATGCTACAGGCATATACATGTACCTACCTATCTAAGTACCACCTCATCGATTTCTCCATCCATCTGCATCTCGCTTCATTTGCATCGTCTGTCGTCTCGCCTGCTCTTCTTCTCTGAATTACTAGTGCGTGAATATCCACTATATATACACAGCTGGTATATATACTGGTATGTTGCTAGTACTCCTATAAGAATAAGCGAGAGCTCAATCTCATCTCAGACTCAACGCATACGTCTTGCCTCAGCTTTGCCGACACGTCAAGCAGCACAAAGTACATACCCGATTTACTGCAACAATGGTCTCTGCACTGCATTCCACTTCACTCCAAGAACAGAACAGAAAACCACCAATGTACATGTCTCATCAGCCTGCACAGCAAACGAATAAGTATTATATACCATCGGTCCATCACCATGAATCTGTGTCCATCTACCTATATATCATCACCATGCATGTGTCCACCTACCTTGCTCTGTCTCGTGTTCCAACAAGCCATCCCAACGGCTTTTCAGGATCTCATACGCCTCCGAACATGGGAGACCAATCACACTTGACCCGTCATCAGTTGGAAGCTCAATCACCAGCCCCAGCCGCACTAGTGTCTCCATAGCCTTGTCAATCGGCATCTCAATCTACAAGCAGATCCGAACACCTTTAGAATTTCCATAATCTATTCGCATCACATGCCACACCATGAGAACGAGAACAATGTATCCATAGGCTTTCACCTTTGCCTTGAATTTCTCGTACATAAACTGCTCGCACGTATCTCTTAGGCTTGCACGAGATGATACCTGCAATGGACCATACACAGGTGGACTAGTTAGTGTCAGTCAGTTTCAAAACGAACTAGTAGGTATCAGTGTATCAAAGGTGAACATGCTATACCTGATACTTCTTTCTGCAGAGTAACATAGCATATGCCAAAAGTGCTTCTTTGTACTGCACAAAAGCAAATCATTAAAGGAATCATTTGCCTCAAAGGCTCAAACAGCAAGCCGAAAATTAAGAATCATGCTTTGCCTGCTCGGTGATGAATACAAACCTGTTGTTGCTCGGAAGCATCGAGAAGGAAGTAAACCGAGCCAAACCCACTTGCCAATGTCTTCTCATATAGTGTTTGATTCACCAAAAGCTGGAAAAAAAGAAGATATACATTCAACTAAAGGATCTATCGTGTTGTAACAAAGGGGAAAAAAAAGCAAATGATGTACCTGGTATCTATCCCGGGTCTGTTTGTAGCCCAGTGCCACACGGAACGCAAGTATGACAAGTGCACTACCAGCAACTATATCAAGAAGAAAAGCTGACCTGCATTACCATGCAAGAAACAAAACCACTATATATAATTTTATTAATAAAAAATGTAGTTCCATCAGCTTATACTGATACAAATTACATACGGAGATGAGGCTAAACTCTCAAATTTGTAGTTGACGACATATGCCAATAGACCTATTACAGTAGCAATATCTAGCCTTACCTGCATTAAAGGCAAACTATCAACAAACGTATGTGCAGGAACAGAAAAGAATCTCATGTATGTATACAAGTCATATAGTAAGGGTCCACATCGACAACAGGTGATTAGAGTAAAAAAAAAGGTTAGATAGAGAATTACTGTATCTAGGATGCGGAAGGACAATTTCTTGTGTGGAAAAACTACCTGCAGACAAATTTTAGCATGACAGTCACTATGATGCCAATACAACAGTGTGAAGGCTTTTTAAGGCTTCATCAGTACTAAAGTAATAGATCTGGGAAACATTGTTTTCCTTAAACATCTAGGAAAGACAATGGATTTCTTATCAGATCTGGGATCGGAATCCTCTCATAAAATTTTAAGTTGTAGATGGAAGCATCTCAGAGCCTTCTAACTAGCAGGATGATATTAATGAAATGTATTCTAGATTTGATACCCAAGTCTATGCAGAACAAAAGATAAATCATTTAAATATTGCCAAACGATAAATTTTATCGATCCGGCCGCCGCCCCACGCAGCGACACGGAGGCGACCCAAACCTAGCGCCTCTCCCTTCCTTTTCCGGTTTATCTGAGACTCAGGGACTTACTGGCAGATCTGGGATCGACGGTCGAGAATCCTCTCATAAATTTTCAGTTGTAGTGGAAGCATCTCAGATGTATGCTTCTTTTCACTTTGAGCAGCTTCATCAGTGTAAAGTAGTATTAACTCCTGGAATGCTGGTTCCTGGCAAGTTTCTAGTTTAATTTGATACCCAAGTCTATGCAGAACAAAAGATAAATCATTTAAATATTGCCAGTTCTCTATCCTTGGTAGTAGCATGTCAAATTATTTTGAACAAAAGCTGGCAAGGTAAGTCCACCCATCCATATGCCCGATCGGAGGGTGGATTTTAATTGCTTTTATAGCTTCGCGGGATTTTTTTTTTGTATTGCTGTGCTAGGGGCAGGCACTTCATGGCCATGTGTCTGTTTTAGTGTAACCCTATTCCATTCTTTTTTTTTTCTGTTGCACTTGATGTAAGCATGTGTCGATCGTGAATCAATCAGCTATTGAACAACGAAACCTCCTCACACCTTTTCACTTTCGCAACAATCATATCATAAGAAATGGATGACCCAAAATCAACTTTCTACATACCTGCCATGAGAAGTAGACCTCCCAAACAGTATACCAAAAGAAGCTTTCACTATCTCCCAGATATTGCCATTGTTTAAAAAAGATGCGCCCATCTGCTTGCAGGTTGCCAATATATTAGCAAGGGTAATTCTTGGTAGAAAGTTTGAACCCACAACCACGAAGTCATGAAATGGATGATACCTGAAGAGTAGACCTCCCAAACAGTGGTCAGATATTGTTATATAATATCACAACAAGGGTAAAGAAATTAGTCATGAAATATGATATGAAAGTTATATAATAATGAGTCAATGACCATTTCCTATAATTTTTCGGGTATAATTTTGTTTTTTATAGCAAACTCTTTCCACATTTATGTATATAAACAATAAAATGGTAATAGTAATATCTATTGTAGCTAGAAGAATATGTGCAAAGGAACAATCGAATATGGGCTATGCTTCAGAAATCTGGAAGTTTATAACAAGCTTGGTCATCAGATCCTTATGCAATAATTCTGTAGAGCTGGGCTGCATTCATTTGCACAAACTACAAATATTACCAAGATGTAATAAAGTATCCCTAAAGTGAAGATAAAACTACAGTATACATATACTTGGGCTCTAACCTCACATGTCCTTCAAGATGTTTAGTTTCATCGTTGGATCTTATCGTTGCTTCTGGCAGAGAAGGTATTAACCCAGTCCATTTAAGCAATCTTCTTAACAGTCTTCCACGAGGACCAACAGGTGACAGAATTCCTTCATAACGAGAGACTGCCCTTTGTGCAGCGATCCAAATAGGAACATCTGCATCAGGTAACTGATCAGAGCTAAGCTTGTCCCATGAAGAGCATTCTATCAACAGCAGTGAATTATCTGCATAAGTTTGCTCTTTAAGCCAGAGTCTTAATTTGTCGATCCAGATCTGAAATCCCGGATTATCTGTTGATCTTTTCAAAGCCTGCCATGAACTAAAATAATCACATACAATTAGCCAAAAGTTCTGAGTGACACGCAAAATCCGTAAGAGTTCAGAAAAAAGGAACATAATTGGAATGCCGATTTCATAACAAGTTGCCTAGAAGTAGCAAAATCTGCAGCATTTAAATTATTCCCGAATTCTGATAGTTAGCTAGCTCATTTGCAATGGTCTAAGAGCGCAGATGGATTGTAGCAATAGATGCTTTTGAGTTAATTGGCCAAAGAACTAAAAGCACATGTACTGTGATGCACAATAATAAAACTGCAGCTCCTAAACTGTTAGGAAATTTATGATTTATGATAACATGTATAGATAATCCGAGACAAATGTTACTTCCGCACTAGAACCATCTCTTTCAACTCTGTGTGTGTACTGTGTACAACAGTATTAGAGCCACTAAAGAGTTAGTGTTGATTACTTGATTGCATGACAGGTGAACAGGATATATAATAGTAAGTAAGAGGTCACAGTCACATTGAAGATCATGAACACAAGGCATGTGAGGACAGAAAGATTGACTGACCTCATTAAGCCATTTGCCTGGCTTTTTCAAGGGCTTGGAGAGGCCGAAGAAGACATTCTGCAAGAATTTTGATTGCAAGTAATCAAGTTTCTCAACCAACAGGAGGCCTTTCTGTCTCTCGGTTGCATATCCACGCCTGTATAAGGGAGGAAAAATAAAGGATGTCTGGAGTAATTCTACAAAGAGTGATAGTTCCTTTTAAAGATATGAATCAGACAAGTGTGACCTGAATATTATTGCATTAGATTGAGCAGCCTTCTTCCAATCGACATAAATGGGCAGCGTGAGGAGGTAATCGCTATTCAGGGCATAGGTCAAGAGCAGATCTTGTGCGGAGAGCTCTTCAAACTGAGCATTGCGTAGTAGGTTCATGAAGGAACGCTGAAACTGAGTTGCAAAAGCAACTCTTTTTTAGCACGGCAGTCACACAAAAGCAATCAGTCAGTAGAGGCACTAGTCAGGCCAGGTGGTTTAGCATGGATGTAGCTTACTGAATTTATAAGCAACTAGAGTTTGAGAGCATTCATGTATCCGTTTCTATCATTGTTATTTGTTATTATTATTACCTGGTCTGGGAATCACGGTCTGGGGTTAATCCGAGAAGAGTTCTCAAGCCTAAGCTTCTAGTAAGGAACAACGTGCCGTCTTCTTGGGTAATGCCAAAAAATCCAGAGGAGGCTTTGCCGTTGACGACGTCGGAGGTCGAAGAATTGTCAGTGGCACTGCCATCGCCCTCCTCCTGGTGGCGTTGCGTGAGCATGTAAGAGGTGCGCATCTCCTCGAGCATCCTCTTGTGCTCGGCGTGAAGGATGGCGTCCAAGCATCTGGAGAGCAGGGAGGGAGTGAAATGAAATAATTACTAGTACTGTGCTAGATTGTTGGCGAAGTACGGGAAATAACATAAGCACACCTGGAGCAGCGCTTGAAGTCCGCGGCGTCGGCGTCGGAAGCGAACTGCGAGAGGACGGCATCGAGGAGGGCCGCCTTGGGGACGGCGATGTAGCGCTGGCGCGGCACGTGGATGCCGGAGATGCCCTTGGAGTCCGATCCTTGGGGCCCTTCCTCTTCCCAGTCGTTGGAGTCCCCCTCCGTGTCATCGCGTTGCTGCTCTTCGCCGCCCTCCGCGGTGACCACGCCGTCGGGCTGGCCCCACGGGTCGGAGCCGGAGCCGGAGCGGAGGGGATCGAACTGCACGGCGGCGGCGAGCCTAGCGGTGGAGCCGACGGAGCAGCGCGCGGCAGTGGTGGATGAGGAGAAGGGCCAGGGGAAGTAACTATAGGACGCCGCCGGCAACGTGGAGAAGGAGGCCGGTACGGCGGCGAGCGGGTTGGCGCGCAGGAGGAGCATCGCTCGCTGCTTCGGGCCGTCGCCGGGAAGGCAAACTGGCTGGCGAGCATGAGTGGCGGGCAGTCGCTGAGAGCCGAGCCGGATAAACGCCCCGCACGGCCGGAGCCCGGAGCCACGTGGCTGGACGACGCTTTTCCGGTTTGGCCCATAATACTTCAATTTGGGCCGGCATCAGCCCACTTATTAGTGTTAACCGAACCGGCCAGAAGGAGGAGGAGAAGGAAATTGAGAGGCCCATCCATCGACTCCGCCGCCCAACAGCAACACGGGCAGAGCTGATCCCCATCGGCGCCGCGCCGCCGCCCGTCTCCGGTACACCGGCGACGCACAGGTACGCTTCCCTTCAGAGAAGGGTCCCTCCCTCTTTCCGTTGCTGTGCTCTTCCCTGCTTCTGTTAGACACTGGCTCGCGCCGCATCTCTCTACATGCTAGTCTTAGTTCGCCTGAGGATGCGGATCCATGCGCTGCGCGGTGCGCCTCCGGCGGCCGGCCGCTGTCACCGGGGTTCTGACCCTCCGGTCCAGTGCCTGGTAATGACCTCCCTAACCACCACCACACCAGGCGGTCTCCCATCCTCAGTCGCCCTCCCACCTGCTACTGCTAGGTCACCATCGATTCAGCCAGCAGCGTTTCATTTCATTCTAAATGAAAAATGCAGTTAGTTTGTCCATCTATGTTGCCACATTTCCTTCCACTCGATATGCTGCGTCTGCATTGTTGATCGCACTGGATGTCCCACTCCAATTGCAATTTACCGGTGCACATGTCATGTTTAATTTCCCTGCGAATTCCCTACTTTATATTTGGTTAACATAGTTAGCACTATGAACCCCTGCATTCCTTTTGACCTTTTCAATTCATGTTGCCTCTTCGTTTCTTTTATCAGTAAGGTCCTGTTTGGCAGCTTTGTAATTTTATTCACTGGTAATTAGCTTTCAGGTGTAATATCTTGTGCACTAGAATTCAACTGTAATTTCTTTTGTCTGCTAAATATTTGTTTGGGTAATCTTCATGGAGCCCCCACGACACGTCTGTGCAGTCTTCGACAGGAGACGTCGCTCTCTGCGCCGCGCAGGCTGCCGGAGCTGCTGCGCGCCTTGCCAAGGGTCGCAGGCTGCCTGACTCACAACACCGTCGGACATGTTGCCTGCCTTGCCGCGAGGTCCACCAAAGCTGCTGCCTGCCTTGTGGCGAGTGACGTCGAAGCTGTTGCCCTCGCCTCATCACGCAGGCTGCCTGCAATGCAAAGAAATGCCCGCCCCAAAGCTCGAGCAGTAGCAGCTCGGCTTCAGCTGGACCGTGGATCAGAGGCCAACATATCTGGCTTCGTCGGAGACTGCCATGTCAGAGGATCTGGAGTTCTGGACGGATGACGCATTTCATCAAACGATTGGTATTCGCAAGTCACAACTGGAAGAAGAAGATTTGACTCTGCAAAGCACGCGAGACGAAGGATGGATCCCAGGCTACGAACCTTGGCAAAGGAGATGACAGGGTCGCTGGAGTGCTCAACGGCTATGACCATGCCACTGCAGCCACCGGAGTTGGAGGAGAGCTTGGCGAGGTATGGGAGCCCCACCGCTCCTCGGGAGGGGGCGCCGCCGAGCTCCCGGACCCGGAGCCCGCTGAAGAAAGTCAGAGAGAGGCATCGCTGTGTCTCCGTGAGAGAGCGAGCGAGAGAGCAGAGCAGAGGCGTGAATGGAGAGCTCGCTGCCGCCGCCGCGACAGACTTTTCTCGGTGAAGAGTGACCAAGAGAGCGGACGAGAGGAGGCCGATAGTTGTCGTTTTATTTTCCAGAGCTGAGGAGACGATTATTTTTATCTGATGGTTTTCATCCAAACCGAGTGTAATATTAGTAGGTTCAATCATCCAAACAATCAATTTTAGTTTGGGTTGGAAAAATTTTAGGACCTGTAATTTACAAGGGTTTTAGTCTAAATACCGGACTTCCAAACAAGCCCTAACTTAGCATACCTTGTTCGGTTTACTTTTACCAATTCAGCTGTTGTATACACAGCATCTAATCTAACACTCTGCATTTCCTCTTCAGTGTCGTGCAGGGACCTTCCTTCCTGATACAGGAAGGCAGGGCTCATGAGTGGCACGCCAGCTGCAAGCAGTGGCCTACAGGCAGCCCTCTCATACTGTGTCAGGCAAGTCCGCGCCTATGACTACCACCACTACCTCTGCCTTCTCCACCTGCCTCCGGACATGCGCAAGGCTGCGTTCACCTTCCGCGCCTTCAACGTGGAGACAGCAAAGGCCATGGACGTCGTGTCCGACCCTCGGACTGGCCTCATGCGCCTCCTCTGGTGGAAGGACGCCGTTGACAAGGTCTTTGCCAACAAGCTGGTCGAGCACCCCGTTGTCCAAGCGCTCTCTTCGGTCATTGCAGACCACAAGGTGAGCAAGCACTGGCTCAAGCGGTCTGTGGAGGCAAGGATAAACGATGCCAACCGTGACGAGGGCACCATTCCCGAGACGAGCGCTGAGTTGGAGAGGTATGCGGAAGACACCCAGTCCACCATCCTTTACATGACCCTGCAGGCTGGTGAGATACAGTCCACCGTTGCTGATCACGCCGCCTCTCACATCGGCAAAGCCAGCGGGCTTCTGTTACTGCTCAAGGCACTGCCTCACCATGTAAATAAGCAAGGGACAGTACCTTATATCCCAGCTAGTGTGGCTGAGGAATGTGGCCTACTCACACGGAAGGGTGGCAGATCAGAGGTCAGGATGGACGAGAGGCTGCCAGACGCAGTTTTCAAGGTTGCATCTGTTGCCGAGGCTCACCTGCACAAGGCGCGGGAGCTTGCATCGTCGGTGCCTAAAGACGCGATCCCCGTGCTCCTCCCAGCCTTGCCGGCCCAGGTCCTCCTGGATACCCTGCGAAGATGTGAGTTCAATGTGTTTGATTCTCGGTTGTGGAGGGGAGTCCACGGGGTCTCTCCTCTGTGGTATCAGCTCAAGCTTAACTGGAACGCGTGGCGAAGCAAGTACTGATGAAGAACCGAGCAAGTTTGACCTGTTCAACCAATGGAAGAACTGCACTGAACTGCAGGCTGCTGCTGTTCCTTTTAGCAAAGCTTTATTGAGCTTCCGATGAGGTTTAGCTGAAACACTTTGTTATATAACCAAGATTGAGTAAGATGAGTAGGGTCTGCTACTTGCGCCAAACTTGGCGACTTTGAGCAATTTTTGCTGTGGCTTCTGGCTTGGGAGGTTTATGTTGTTTGCAGCTTTTACATACATGAAGCTGTTGAATTTGTGTTGTGCTGTACTTACCACAGTATTATATGGAGTCTCTTGTGCTTCTGGCTGGGCTCCATTTAACAATTACAACATGAGCTCCTTTATTTGAGGAAGGGGATTATATAGCCTAGCTAATTGATTGATTGATTAACTCCCGTGTTATTATGATCTGGATGGATGGAGGAGGAAGGCTACTTGAATGATACGTTACGGAACAACAATTGTGAGCTGGGCCTTTTGTCCATGTCATCCGGTGATTTCGGGCCAGCAATCAATCTTATTGATTTGGTGATGGCTTTCCCTTATGGCCCAAGAAGCCTTCGCCTCCCCCGGCCGCCGGCGCCGTCTGCCATGTGACCGCTCACCGCTGCGCCGGCGATGGTATTGCCGTCCCCTGCTCTCCTCCCTGGCAGGGCTCAGAGGCCGCCTCTCTCGCCGCCGGGCACCCAGCCTTTGCTGCCTGCAGCAACAAGCTTCTTTAAGGAAATGAACAAAAGCTCATTGCCGTCGTCTTCCGTGCCCAATCTTCTTCACCAGTTCTAAGGTAAATACGCAAATACCACGTAAGAAACCACCTGTTCATCAAACTTGACTACATTCTCATTCCTCGTGCTTACCAATTAAATTTGTCTTCCGCCCTTAGTCTTTTGCAAAGCTGCAATTAACAAGGTGCTTGCTGTATTAGTTCTTTCTGCAATAAAAAAAACTGAACTTCTGTATACTAAAATATTGCCACCAACCAGACATCTGAACACATCTCCTCTTCCCTTTGCTGCTGTTTTCTTCTACAATCCTTTTTCTCCACTACATGAACTCGCCATTATCATACATATACTTTGCAGCCTTTTTATCACTACTTCCTGATGAGTAGCAGTTTTTATACATACTGTTCTACAGTTTATTAACTGTGCTCGTTACTACTAGCCACCAGGGAATATGTCCAAGCGACCAAGCAGCTTTGCCTGCTCCCTGAAACATGTTTCAAAAAAGGTCACGCACCATTTAACAGTTAAAGTGCTCAACTTTCTGAGAAGCATCAGTACATGACTAGTGCATACTGTCACAAATCTTGAGTGTCCATGAAATAGCTCTTAAATACTTGATCTGGAATTGAATTGAATAGTTTGAACAAACAGTTCACTTTTGTTTTCTTGAACCACTTCTTGTATGGATAAGATGAACTCATCAGACTATCAGAGGCGCCGATACGGTCAACTGTTAATAATGGGAGCTGGTCATGGTGATCAACGGTTGCCTTAATCCCTGTAATTCTCTCAAGTAATTAACAATTTGAACTAATAATTGCCATAAGGCAAGATAGATATTTTCCAGGAACAAATTTAACTATACCAGCACAGTCGTACCCTCTGGTTTATATAAACTGGTAAACTATATTCTTCTGAAAATATTAGTCTGATCTTGCCATGCTAGTGATTTACTGCTTCATTAGCCATGATAGATGTTAAAGCTAATTGCTTGGTCAGGTGATTCTTCGTATTGCTACTGGACTGGTTCCAGGTTGTTCTCTTGCAGTGTTATTTGAACTGCATATGGCTATGGATGAGACCATAATAATCCTTGATAAAGGTAATTAATGGTTCTGCCTGCTTCCCTACATGATTTATTTTTTTAAAACAAATTCCTACATTATTTATGGAAAATTATTGACCTTGGCTTGAAATAAATACTAAATAACCTGCAGCAGAAGCTCTACAATTGACAAACACACTGAAAACTAAATGAACAATTTATGAGGTACTCTGCTTCTTATTTTACTCCTCAGCATGTTAGCTCTAACATGCAACTGGGTAAACAAACTCCTCGGGACTGTCAAAAGAAGTAGCAGTGGCAAACCTGAGAGAGATACTTAGGACAAACACCTGTGCTGACGCTTAAAAGCAACTCAACATAGCCTTTTTGCTTGTGTCCTTTATGCCTTTTTCTGATCATCTGGTCCCTGGTAGAGTAAACAGCAATCACTGATGGAAGAAGCATTGTCCCCTTGTTCGTTGCCCCCGGCCCCAACCCCCCAAGTGAGCTCGGCTCCACACCGTATGCATGCTTGCTTGCTTCTACCTCCAGAACTAGCCGCATTATTGTTGTTTCACTGTGGTTGCTTGCGGCTAGGGAATGGTCTTCATGTGTGGTTGGCTCTATGCCCAACTCAACTCATGAGTGTATTTTGCTTCGTCATGAGTGATGCATACAGGTGCAGCTTAGTCATGCCATATCAATTCCAGGCAAGAGACACGCCGCAATCATTGTTGCATATGCAGCCACTTCAGTCGGCGGCAGGATTGATGTTCCCGATCCCAGTAGCAGCACGCAAGTTTGGAGTGGCTTCTGGCCATATCTCCACCAATTTTCCTTGCCCTAGTATTTCAGATTATGCTGCTGGCTGCCACCTAGTGGCATTCAGTCTGAACTCTGGAACCATGATAATGACTGTTTCTGCCTCTCTTTTTTAACTTTTTTTTTTCTGAAACGGATATTTTTAATTAGACATATAAAAAAAGATCTAGAAAGTACTTTGATTTTGGATTGAGCGACCCAGAGATATACAACTAGACATATAATGCAATTGAGTTTACAGAAATTAACCTCATTAAGAAAAGTTAAAAAAAATATACCTGTTGTTACATGATAACTAGACATGTAGGGATGCAATCCGATGTTTCTTACCTAAGCTTGGTCAATGGTGGTAGGTGTGCAGGGGTGGGGTTGAATGCTCATAAGTTCAATCATATATAACACTAAGATTAGGAGTTAAAGAGTTAAAAACACTACACTTGGTTTCAGAAACAAATAAAAAAGGAGCTAAAACACTAGGAACAAGCAGCATTTAGAAAGGGTTTGCTACTTTGATAGGGCATCTGGCTTAATATAGAGCACATCATCTGGGAAAGAGTATATCGAATTGAAATTTTTGTCCCTGTTTTGGATGATACTACCTTTTCTTCTTGTGGATTAAAACAGCTTAATTTGTTCTATAGTTCTTTGAATCAAATTCTGGATACATTTCACCTTGGTCATCCTGCACATTCTGAAGTTATTTATGCTGTTTTATGTATAAGACTATAGAAGTGAAACATCCCCTCCCCTGCTACCATGCATGGAGCAGACAAATGGACAATAAAGAATCTTGATCTGAATTAAATGGCCTATGTCTTATTCTTTTGCATGCAGTCCAATGATTGGATTATTTGCTGAGATAGGCAGAATTAATATATTGTTTTTCTTTTATATGAAACAAAAAAATGGCGGATTTAATAACCAATGTGATTATATTTGGCAGCTGAGGGGTCTTGATCCATGAGTACATGATACATACTTCTCCAGCGTGAAATGAACGCAATAATGAGGCAAGTACAAGGAGCCTTTTCCCTTGGTTGCATATCTATCTCTTAGTTTCTTATGCATGTCAAGCGTTCAAAGTGCATCTCTCTCTATGAGACTTCACGTCTATATATTCCTTTATTTTATTTGTGTTGCTTGGATTAAGATTGACATATGAATGATTGTACATGCAGTGTGAAAACTGCAGTTGTGTATGGTGGATTACTAACTAGCTAGAGATTTAGAAGGGCTGCGAGCAGACATGATGGGGTCTCACATGAAGGCTTTCACGCAGGCATCATGTTATCTTCCTCTACAAACAAACATCACCCTCCCCTCTCTGTGTACTTAATTATACCCACTTCGATTCTCCTTCTCATCTCATTGCCCATCGATCTCATGCATGCATGCATGTTGTTGCCTGCCTGGTTCCCAACACCCCTGCCTTTTCCACACCTTCCTTTTAAACCTCATACACGCGCAAATAATCCTATCATATTGTGGCTTGCCTCTTTTTTCACAGGAACTGCAGCCACTGACATGCAGGGCCGTATGTGTCCCATCTATCAGTATACACATCTGGGAAGTAGTTGAGAGGTGTGATGCAGACCATGCTTTTCTGGAGTGTGTAATGCTTGCATTGCTTTGAAGGGTGTGTGGACTGCACTGCATGGCCGGCTTGCGGTCAGGTGTATGTGGGGCTCTTGCACTATATAAGCCGGAAGCTCGATCAGTTGGTGGGAGGCATGCAATGCATGCACGCATGTCTTTCTTTGCTGCTCCTATGCATGCTTTGCTATCTTTGATCCCTTAAAGCATCGGTCAGGAAGCATTGCCCTTCACTCTCTACATTGGCACCACTCCTTAAGGTGGTGTCGCTATCCGGCCCTTTCTCTCCTGTAATCTTTGTCATCTAGCTCGTGCTTGTTCCACATAGTCCCTGGGCGGCTGGGCCATGATCACCAGCGTGTTCTCAGTGGTAGGTGAGTTATGTTACTGTTATCAACCTTTCTTTCATGTCATTAGTTACCATGATGTTTGTGGACTTGTCATTTTTTTTCTTTTTACCTGTTCTCTAGATAGAAATTTCTTTAATTACTGCTAGCTGGTCAAACTCATTATAGCCAATCTATATATGTTACCATTCTACGTATGTCCCTTCGAAAATAAATGATATGCCTTCGCTTCTTAACTCGTCCTTATACTGTTTGATGACTAATGAGAGAGGAGCTGCTAGCTTAGTTTTTTTTTTCCTAAACAGGCTAGTTAGACAGATCGCCCTGTTCGCTTGAGCTACTTTTCATCCATAGAACAACGTTTTCCTCTCACAACATTTCAGCATAAGCATTAGCATAAGCTAAATTTCAACATAAGCGAATAGGTGATCATGCAGTAGCTTCTCCCTAACTCCTAGT